ATGCAGCTGGATTGCCGATTTCCTTCGTGAGCGGAGAATTCGCGTCGTTTCTGACGGCAGCATTTCGAGGTTCGTGAATGTGAACGCCGGCGTACCGCAGGGATCCGTCCTATCTCCCACGCTTTTCCTTCTGCATATCAATTATATGCTTCCACTTGGGAATATTCATTGTTATGCGGATGATAGCACTGTTCATGGGGGATATCACGGATTCCCCGCAGCTGGGCGCGCCGATACTGATAGAGAGCGATCTGATCTTGTCGTTGAGCTCAATAGGATATTGGACCTCATCTCTGCATGGGGATCTAGAAATCTTGATGAGTTCAACGCCAAGAAAACACAGGTTTGCGCGTTAACAACAAAATTGTCGCCGTTCCTTCCCATGCCTTCTCTGATGAGCACAGCACTTTCACCTCAGAGCAGTTTTACCTTGCTCGGTATGGAAATCTGCTGTGATTTGAATCCAAGGAGCTACATCGAATCTGTGATCAAAACAGCCTCACGGAAACTCGGAGTCCTGAACAAGGTGCGACGTTTTTTCACGCCGGACCAGTTATGCCTGCTGTACAAAACACAGGTCCGGTCTTGCGTTGAGTATTGTTCGCACTTGTGGGACAGCTCCGCCAAGTACCTACTCGATGCCTTGGATAAATTACAGCGTCGTGCTACTCGAATTATAGGCGACGAAGAGGTCTCATCACGCCTTGAACCTCTGCAACTGCGTAGAGATGTTGCATCGCTTAGGGCCTTTTACCGCATGTACCATGGTGAGTGCTCTGAAGAGCTGTTTAACCTCATCCCCCTTCCCCGTTCCTGCTCAGAAGCACGCGTGCTGGCCTTCGTAGTCACCGTTTCACTACCTGCCGCATTCCATCGCGTACTAAAAGGTTCGGTGGCTCCTTTCTCTGCCGCACGGTTGACAAATGGAACTCCCTTCCGGCACATGTCTTCCCTCCCTCTTATGATGTGGGGTCCTTCAAACGAGGCGTGAAGAGGCATATTGTAGGCAGGCAGGGTGGAGGTGGCTAGTGCAGTGAGGGTTTCATCGCTGCACTAGGTTCCTTCGCGTTTGGATACCACTTTTCACTTAACATCAGGTGGAGTGGAGTCATTTGCCTGTCAGGTATAAAAAAAAAAAATTTTTTTAAGTTTTTGATGGTTACGATGTGTGACCACTATGAATTTTAATTATTTTTGTGAAATTACTCGACTAGTTTTGTTATTCTTTCTTCATTGTTTTTTTTTTCATCTGTAAGAAATTTATTTATTCACTCAGAGAGGTACCTTCACAGTTACAAGTTTTTATTGGATGTCTATATAATGTTTTACTACCATGACATTCAATATTTTTTGTGAATTTCCACTAGTTTGTTATAAATTTACCGTTGTTGCTACTGCTGGACTAGTTTACTTTAGTTACTTCCATAAATAATGTCCTACGGGATTCTCATGTGGGGTAAAGCGGCAGATATACAAACCGTATTTCTATTTCAAAAACGAGCGATTCGTTCTGCGTACCGTTTAGCCTCTCTGGTTCCTCTCAGAGAAAAGTTTAAGAAGACTAG